GAACAAGTTCAGTCCCACAATTAACATTGTCCATTACTGATATACAAACAAGTACATAGGATTAGAAATAGATAAATCACAATACATCCAATAACCCAAGTGGTTTTTGGAAGACGGACCTCGCTTCTTCGGAGGATGAATTTAAAAAGACCATACAACATCGCTGTGTCCCTCTAGAGAAGTAACAACAAACTTTGAGTGTATTAACTTCTTGTACTGTTCTTCTTGTTCCACACCATCTACAGTAGGTGCTGATGGTGCTGGTGATAGCTCTGATGGTGATTCTATAAAATGATAAAACAGATTCTGTCCAAAAATCATTTAAAAGCTATCTTAAAAAAAATACTGTATTTGCTTGGTACTTAACCCAAATCATTTGTAAGTCATATTCTAAGCTATATTATGTTGAGGTAAACATCATCAATAATTAAAAAACTTGAATACATTTCCTGAATCATAAGAATAAATTTATTTAAAAAGTTACATATATGCAAGTGATTTTACAAATTTTAGATTTAGTTGGTTGATTTAGAGCAAAAATCATATTGGGCTATCTCTGCTGGTCCACTGTGGGGGGAATCAAACCCTAGATTTTAGCATTGTAACTTTTGTAGACTTACCACTGTTCCACCAGGGGACTATAAATTTAGAAGAAAAAAGTATTAGACCTGTCTCAGAAGTTATATATACACATTTAGCAGTGTACCAAAATTGTGATCCGAACTGTCTTTTATGATGTGCTGACGAGAAATCAGAATACACTTAAGACATCATAACACATTTACCACTTAATGATGTTGCAGATGATGTTGACTGTTCCAAGTTTTCTGGACAAACTTCAGATTCAATTCTGGCTCTCTTTACTTCATTATCTTTATTCTGACTTTCTTCTAACCTAAAGGATTTCATCCAATAATGAAAAATGTTACATTTTTGCTTACAAAATGTGAAAGAAGTTTTAACTAGTGTGAAGACTTTTTAATAACATTTAAAAACAAGACAACACTAGTTAACAATTACACGCACACTGGTTAAACCAATAATAACCAATGTTTTAATCCACTGCATTAATCACATGTTACATACATGGTCTCTGTCCAGACAGTGGTATTACCAAAGAGAAATATATCACATGTGCATACTGCATTAACCACGTGTTACACACATGGTCTCTGTTCAGTCAGTGGTATTACCACAGAGAAATATGCCACATGTGCATACTACATTAACCACATATTACACACACAGTCTCTGTCCAGTGAGTGGTGTTACCAAAGAGAAATATGTCACATGTGCATACTGCATTAACCACATGTTACACACATGGTCTCTGTCCAGTCAGTGGTATTACCACAGAGAAATATGTCACATTTACATACTGCATTAATTCAACAAAGATCTAATCACATATAACATTTTTAAGTACGAAATAACAACTTGCAGTAATAATTCCATGCTTTCAGTGTGTGATATTTAATGAGATATTTGAAAAAATGTTTATATAACAAAATATCAAGTGTACAGCAATGATTGTAAGAAAACCCCTTACTTACAATTATCAACCTTACAAACAGCATATCTAAAAAGTACTTTTTCACTAACTACTACTGTTATTTATCTTGCAATAAACGCATGCCACCGTGCAGAATGCTGAGAGGATCAACTAACACTGTCCATAAAGTGATACTCGTGGTAGCTTTATTTAGGAATAGGCCTTAAAAATTTACAGAGAATAGTGAGAGTAAAAAAAAAATAGCATGTGCATAATTTTTGTAACATCCTGTACCATGTTAAAATTTTCCAAAAAAATTGTAATTTTCCTAGTGTGCATAATTTTAAAGATACAGTATAATCACATTAAATATCAGTAAACAAAAAATTACTAATCACCCATTCAATAATTATTATTCCTACAAAAACATTTTCTTTAAAATAAGTCCTTAACCCCAATAGTATACTGGTATTAAAAGTACAGAAATTAAATCACACTTATAAAAAAGTTATTAATATTTTATGCACATTCAAAACAGCTGTTGTCAACCAACAACCATAACATATTTTTATTCTTATTCCATGGAAGGTTCTGACCAAGGATTGGTACAGTTTGAAACAACCACATTTAAAAACTACTATGGAATTGACTAATGAAAACGAAAATTGTTTTAAAATTTTTCTAGTGCAAAGCTAAACAGAAACAGAGTACAATGTTACACTTACCAATAATAATTTACAGTATTACAGTGACATCTTTTAGCTTAATGATAAAACAATTTAACTATTTTACACTGACATCATTGAGTTTACAAACACTGCTCTTGGTGCGACATGTCTAAGCATTTACTATATACATGTATTCTATATACATAATTAAAAGTTCAATTACGCACTAATTCTTATATTTTTAAAAGAATTCATGAACTGAATGGCACTTGATTAAACCTTTAGGCAGTGAAAACCTAGAAATTAAATTATTTTTGATTAATATTAAATATTAGCAAATAACTCGTATCCATACCATAATAAGTTTTACATTTAAACTTGACATCGTATAGAGAAATAAAGTATAACAATAAGTAAAAAAATAAACCTACTTTACAAAAACTGTAACTTTTAAATGACCTATTTATAAGTTAACACTCCTAATATTTCATTTCCATGGTGATTTGCAAAAGCATACAATCTATTCAGCATCTTTTTTTAAATTGTTTAATCATTTATTTAAAGAAGCTTTAAACTGATGAATGAAATACTTTTTTTTCTTTAAAAAAAGGCATTTTCTTTTATCTTTCCATGTCCAAAATGGAAAAATCAAACTGCAGAAATAAGTTCATTCTATACAATTTATGAATTCTTCACTTGCTCTCACTGGAATTCTGGTTCAGTTTCTCTGGAGGTTCATTCATGATCTCAAGTTCTCAGTTTATCTCATACTAAACCTGCACCGTACTCTATACTGTAAAACATAAAAACTTCCCAGCTACACGTATCACTTATAGTATGCAAAATACTATTTCATTCTATAATTATTAGTACACTTTCCTTTTTTTTATGTAATCTTTTTTTTAGAATAAGTTGCAATTGCTTCTTCCGAGTGAAAAAATCCCTTCATATTTTATAGTTATTTTTGAAGTTAACAGTCTATGTCAAATCTATGGGACAAAACAAATGTACAAAGAAAAATTTGTCTTTTTAGGACAGGATCTGCAAGTTGAGTGTCAGTATATTTAATACTTGTATTTATATTGATATTCAGACTATGACGTATTAAAAAAATAGAATATCTTCTTTAGTATTCACCTTGTTGTTTGCTTGGAAAGATTTTCTTGCTATATTTATACTTCTTAAAAATGCTACCTGGATAGTGACATTTCTGAAGGAATTCTTCTAGTTCACATTCTCTAACTACAGAATTGGAGACATTAATTTAACTAATCTTCCTCATATAATATACTTGTTTGGAGTATACATCATTGCAGTAAGGAGTGTTCAACACAATATTCAAGGTGTAACATCAAACACATCACTGCAGTAAGGAGTGTTCAACACAATATTCAAGGTGTAACATCAAACACATCACTGCAGTAAGGAGTGTTCAACACAATATTCCAAGTGTAACATCAAACACATCACTGCAGTAAGGAGTATTCAACACAATA